GCTGACCTTTAGCTGTTGTGATTTTGGCTGCATAGACTATCATTATAGTTGTTATGGAGTTGAAAGGCTTTAAAATAGTTCAGTTATTTTGTCTAGGAGGTGTAAATGACAGCAAAAAATAAAATAAACACACAAAAATATAATGACAGCAACTATCAGCTCATTAAACATTTTTATCATCCCAGAATTTCACGCTTAAAGTGCCTAAGAAGATATCTATTGTACTTGCTGTCTTGGTAGTGATATGTTTTCAGTTTCACTGACAGTGTTAACAATAAACATAACTAACATAATATGAAGCACATATTATTAATGTACAAAAAGCTGCTGAATATAAAATGAGCTGAAAACTCAAATCCAGAAGACTTGCAAGTGTTCACTGACAGAGAATGTCTCTAACAAAACCTCTTCTGCTTTTACTAGAGTCTGTGTTTTCAATTATTATCACCCACAACACTCTCCTCTATGTTTCTCCCTCATTTCATTTGCTCCTTTTCGTCCGTTCTGCACTGTAGTTGTAATGTAGTAACAGGGATCAAATGACAGGAAGTATGAGTGTGATGCAGCAGAATGCAACAGGGCAGTAAGAACGTCTTTGCTTTGAGCATGCTTTTGTTTTGGATGTGTTTTGTAATTGTTATTTTTATTTCCATGTGTTAACGTTATATGGCAAAAAAGTGTGTTGACACTTTCACATTATGCTTATGTGTTATTGCTTTTCGGAATACAATTAAGAGCTTGGATGTACCACTGGAACTGCAACTACAGTAATGGGAGGATTTTTTGAAGCCTGGCTGCTGGGATTAGCTCTTACTAATCCATAAGAACATTTAAAGGGTTGGCCAGTCTTGTTGTGTGATACGGGGTTGCTCACAGTCTGTGTTCAAATTCATTAGAGCAGTGTTTGATTGGGGTTATGTCAAGCCTCTGTGGAAGCAGGTCCAGTTGCTCAACAAACAAACTGACTTGGTTTAGTGTGTTGTGTTTGGTGTGTGTTGTGCTGAAACAGGAAACAGCCTTTTCCAGCACTTAAAACAAAGTGGGACACTATTTGAAACATATTGGATTATTTTCCATTCATTTTAACTAAAAGACCAAAAATAAAAGCCAAAGCAAAAAAAGCAGACAAAAGTGACAAATAAAGTAAGAAAAACCCACTGGCACTCTTCTGGAAGATATTCCCTTAAATTGTGTTTTGATGATCACTATTCAGTGACTCCTTGTGTCCCATATATGGAGGCATCGTCAGTGTGGAAGAGGCCACTCCCATTAATATAGAAATGTTTCATCATAGATTAAAGGTAATCTTAGCTATTGTATTGTTTTGCAGTGTGTTTGCATTCAAGTACACAAGTGGAACAGAACCTTCCTGCCATCCAAAAGCCCCCAGCAGGATGGAAGAGCCTCTGAATATCTTACAGGAAGGGTTAAGGGTTTGTTTCTCTACGTGTCCTTTGTCATTGTTAGTGTTACCAGGACAACATGCCTAGATGGACTAAAAAGCTGCAAGAACAACCAAGATAGAATTGTGGTATCATTTTAAAAACATATTTCCAAGGAAAAAAAACATACAGTGAACTTCAAATATGAGTGGCATTCCCATTTAATTCTACATTTAATTAACACAGAAAAAGTGCCAACTCATAAGTCATGGGAATCACAATTCTTTATTCTCTTAAAAGAAACTAGCCTCACAGTGTCTAACTAATACACCATAACATTAAACAACCCTTTGTCTGCAAGATATGTGCTTATTTTGTAAAATAATGTTTGTCAGTAGGAGATAATCTGGAACTACATAGTTTTTGCTCATTTTCCTGGCTGGTCTCTGAGAGGACAGATATGTGGCCACAAGGGTGAGCACTGAAGTCAGAATGGGCTTTCTGTCCATTAAGCACAACCAATGACCCAATTTTTTACCCAAAAGATTACCCAAAATGTCTGTGTCTTCAAAAACTTCTAGAAACGTCTTAGCCGATGAATATTGCCTCGTCCACATGGTGGCTGAATAGCAAATCCACATAATCTGCCTCTAGAGTTGCACCTTCTGGTCATCGTGTGTCCATTTTGTAGCCCTTTGAAACTCAGGAAGTACTGGTAAACAAACTGTCTGAAGATCCCTGATCAGGTCTTGCTGTCTTAAAAGTTCAGTACACAGGCAAATAAAGGGATCCAGCTCTCAAATGATAGAAGATAAAAAGTAAAGGACTTTCCACCATTTGTCACAGTAATAAACACTTACGTACAGTGCATACCCTGAATGCCTTACACAGATTTAATAGCTTCAGATAATTTGTAAGACCCATGATATGGAATACTGAAAATTCACTGGCAAGGATCTTTGTATATTTTATATGTAAGAAGGCCATGCTTTTAGAGATTACACGGTAACAATAAAAGATCTACTCTAATGCTTGTGATTTATCTGTGTAATATTAACTTAGCAGCTAATATTACTACCGTTTCATGAATGAGTGCAATAAAAAAAGACAGCAAGAATGATGACAGGACATGTAGCAAAGGGATGTTTAATGATTTCTTTGGACAATGAAATGCACATGTCCATTGTTGATGTAATACAAATAAGAGAATAAGAAATTTGACAACGCAGTGTTGTGTCAGCATTCCCAGTTCAATTTCATGTCTTTTTGGACGTTAACTAAAAATTCAAAATGGAGCAGAACAAAATGTCTGGAGTGTCATGCAAAAAACTGACCAGTAGGGGGAGAGCCAGCTCTTGCAACAAAAAAAGAAAAAAGAAAAAGTGAGTCAACCTACACCACCTACACGTTTGCATGGGTATGTGCTATGCCCTGTTCCACTCATATACCCTTGGCACTTGAGTTTCCATTTAAGAAACTGGAAACATGGAAACTATTCCAGTCCCATAGCCAACGTGTCATGAGCTTATACAGAGATGAGGCATAGCATATCTGGAGTGAGCGGATGCAAACACAAACTTTTCTGAGAATGCACACACAGGCAACTGAATTCATGAGCAGATTAAATAATAATAACATTAAATAAAATCCTAATAAGATGAAACTAAAAGGTTGATGATCATTGCCACGTTGGCACAATATCAAATCCCTCGCAGCACCATTTATTATTGTAAATTACAGACGTCCACGCATGTTTAGATTGATCTCATTTTGGATGAATGTCACAAAAATGTGTCAAATGGCATAAAAAACAAACAAACAAAAAAACCCCAAAACAAACATTGTACCACAGTTCTTCATTTTCAAAAGGGGTGGGAGTTCTAGCTGCTAGAAAGGGCCGTAAAGGAATCGTGATTTCAGAGGAGTCAAACTGACCCCTTTCGTTACATCATCGAACCTTACTAAAAAGTCCTTTTTCTTATAGAAGAACACCATGTAGGCCTGGAGTCCTATGGAATATTTGGCAAAGGATCCAAGATTTTGGCCCAGAGGCTGTATAATAAATATTCCATCCATAGTGGTTTTTACTGTTGAGCTTAAGTGTTCAACCTGAGATTCTTGTTATTTTAAGGAAAGTTAGTTCATAGAAGAACAAAAAAATCCCCCCAAAACATTCATCCTTCATGCTAATAAAGTCCTACTGGAAATGTTGATTAAATAACTTAAGACTGGGTACCTACTGCATTGCTTGTTCTAATATGATTTTATTATTGCTATGCTATTCCATTTTCTTTCCAGAAGCAAGGAAACCCCCACCCTCACACACAAGTCTGGTTGAATGGGAATGCCATATCAAGTGGTGAATGTCTTGGTCCCCCTACATCGCATGAGGATGTAGTGAAGGTCAGAATGATTAGGATAACAAAAGGTGGGCAAACTTGATCTGAGGTGAATGGAAAGTGCAGTGATCAAGTCAACATGAGCTGCAAACGCATACATTTCATACATTCCACTTGTTCCTCACTGGCTGGGCGATCCTTCCTCATATCCCTTACCAAAAACTAACCAAAGTAAGACTTTAAGAATGGGTATCCACAGACTGTGTAATGTGCACTGGTGAAAAGAAGAGGAAGATAAATGGGGAGTGAATGATTGCATCAAGTGCTAATATATCATGACAGTAAATGTACTCGATCTATAAAAAACTACCTTGGTACTGAACACTGACCTCTTTCTAACAAATAATCTGGTATACAACATTTACAAAATGAACATTGTAATAGTGTGATATTTATAATATATATGCTACTGCCTTCCTCTGGTTCTCTGCATTTTAAACCTCTGAGTACACTAACGCCATCTTATAATTCTTACACAGTAAAGCGTACACACCACACCCAACGAGTGGCAGCCAAATACAAAGAGAGAGAACAGGAAGACTCTGTGGACAGTGAGTACACCTGCATGTGTGTCCTGAGTGTGTGTGGATGGTCGCTCAGCTCGTAAACCTGGCAGCCGCAACTTGCCGGTAGACTCAGCAGTGAAGGGAGTTTTTAAGAGAGTAAACTTCTGGGATACCAAGATTCTTCAGCTCACAAGGTACAGGATGTCCTTATCGAAGATACTTGCACATTTAAGACAGTCTTGAAATACTTTAGGAGATAATAATAATTATTAGAATATCAATAATAACAATAATAACAATAGTATTTAACATCTGTCAAGGTTATTTCTGTCCCATGGCAGCAGGTTGGTGATCTGCATTTTTCTTGATTATTTGTGATCCCCACATATCTCCTGTGCAGCTATGAGGGATCGGCCTCTGTGCATCCAATATATATATATATATATATATATATTGTGTGTGTGTCTCAGATTTGTGTTGTGTCAATGAATGTCTGAAGTGCGTTAGCAATTTTTTGATCGGTGCTGGTTTGCTCTCAGAGGCGGGTCTGGGCCTCGGGGACGTAGATTTCGATGCTGTCAGCACTTTCTGTGGCGGAGTTCTGTCGTACTGATGCCGCGCGCTTTGCTGCCATCAACCTTTTTCTGGCTTCTTGCCGCTGCTTGTCTGCAGCAGAGTCCACGCTCTTGTCCTTCTCTGCTGACAGCCGCGGCTTACTCTGCTTCTTTGGCACAGATGATGGAAGCTGCTTGTTTTCATCCTGAGGAAATTATGTCAAGAGGGGAAAAGAGTGAGATATGGTGTGGCACTAGCAAAACACACTTCCAGTAGTGATGATTAAGTGTCATATGTAGTCCATTAAGCACTTAGGAAATAATTTAAAATCCTCCAGGCTTGCATTTACAACTGAAATTAACATTCATTATTGATCAAGCTGTCAATTAAATTAAAATGTCAGAAAATTCTGAAATATCTTCAACTTCCTTTGGCTTAATGAGTCAGCTATCCAAAAAACAATGGTGTCCAATTTCTAGCCATTTAAAACAGAGAAAAATTCACACTGCTAAGGAGCTGGCACCAGAGAACATTTAGCAGTTTTACTTGAAAAATTACCAAAAAAAATAGTATGCTGATTAACCTTTTGCTGAATGACTAATTATGACAACTCTACCCATGGCACCAATCTAAAAAATCTCAAGTGAAACAAAAATGTAAGGTACCCAACATCACCTTCTTCTCAGGAAGCTGCCAGTTGTTGGCTTTAAGTTGGTAGAGCTCATCAAACTTCATACTGATGTCTTCTATCGAGAGCTGTAGCAGATCCCAGAACCCTGCAAGGTCCTGCGATGTTGGTCGTGGGTTGGCATTTATATTCTAGGGAAAGGAAAGTGAGACAGATGAATAGATTTGGACCAAACAGAGAAAATTAGTCACATCCTTACCCACACAAATACTTCCCGGGCAGCCTGCCTTTAAGCAAATAGATGAAAATAAAATACATTTGATGCCAATCAACAATTAGAATATTGCAGTAGGACAAGCGACCAATCGTGTAAGATCGGTGTGAAGTTTGCATTTCTGCTTGAAACTTTCCTAATTAACATAAAACAATGAGATCTCCCTTTATGTAGGTCAAATAATGGAAAACAAATGATCTTTTACAATTGGGCAACAAAAGTAGGACAGCAAACACACACACACACACACTCAACAGGACATAATGAAGCCACTCACCAAGTTCTCATTACAGAGTCCTCTGAACTGCTCAAACTTCTGTGATATGAGGAGCTGAGCACTCCCTACTGCACTGCGGATCGTCCCCAAAACTACAAAGACACAAATATGACAAACCCTTAACAAGCAAAGAAACATTTCCAGTTAGAATAAAGACATATTAGAAACAAACTTTGAGTTTTAGAGTTAATACATGAGTCTTTTTGCATGTCTGAGTTCAAGTACATAAAGGGTCAAGACGTGAAGAGGTGTGATGCAATGTGTTTACTAACAATTACCATTTAACCTGGCTTGACAGCAAATAATTTTCTTACAAGTATTTTATAAACTCTTTCATAGCTTTGACAACAAAAGATTCTTTCAGTCATGTATTTGCATGTAAATGGAAATTCATAATTCAGGTTCACAGAGAGTAGGAGGAATGATTATCTGAAGGAGCCTACACTGCTCATCTGCTTCTTGCTCATTCATATTTAAGGCATTGCAGAGATTGATCTACTTAAGAGCCTGAGTGGTATTTTGGGACATGAATAAGTGAAATGAGTCTGCAGTGGCTCTGTTATAGCTAAACTAATGCTTACCCTGCCCCCGTCCTCTCTAATAAGCTGTAGTACTGTGAATCAATGGCAGTAATGACTCTGTCATGCTTTGTCTCTGTGTCCTTAATCAACAGGGATGAGACCTGACCTAGTGTCCTGTCTGTGAACTTCACTAACAGGCACAGCAACTCAATTCTTCTTAGCAATTAACTGATAGCAGATTTTTTTCAATTTTTATACAACTGTGGCTCTTTTTAAAAAACATATCTTTCTTTGTAGCACATTAACATCTAACATTGAAAGATACTCTTGAAATCAACCTAACATGCTTAGTTTTTAATAATTTCATTTCAATTTTTCATCACTAGTTGAGGATTCAAGCCAAATGTTCAAAATGTAAAAAACAAGTACCAAGTAAATACTGTGCGTAAACACAGCACTTTCTTACATGTATAAACTGACATTCATCTCACATGCTGTGAGATTTATCTGGCCCTTGATTTGTTTTGCACTTGAATGACAACAGTGACTTGAATGAATGACATCACTCTGCATGGGTGAGTGAGAGGGAGTAAGAGCGACAGAAGCGATAACACCAGTCTGGAAAAGGTCCGACCCCGATTTGCATGTTGCGTGGGAAAATTAAGACAGATTGCAAAGAGATTTGTGATCTGGCCAACAGACAGGCATACAGTATATGTGGCAAAGGGCAAATGAGATTATTATATCTTATCTGAAAACAGGACACATGACAAAAGTAAAATGGGGCCTATGTAAATGTGCTGATAGCCACCTTATCCATTTCTGTCACCTACCCTCCTCTGAGAGCTTGTTGTCTTTGGTCTCCTGCTCCATCTGCTGACACCATCCCTCCATGCGGCCTGTTTCAGCCTGCAGTAGCTTCAGAAACCAGTTGCCGTCTCTGAGACATGCTGGCGTGGTAGGCTGAACAGCATCTCCCTGGCTGCTGCAGTTTCCAGACTCGAGGCTGGGATCTGGAGGCGGCAACGAGGAGGGGTCTAAAGCTGGGTCGAGAGTCTCTGGGGGTGAGATGGATATCCTGGATGGTGCTGAGTTGTGTTTAAGTGGCTGCTGCTCCATGGCTTTGTCCTGTCCGTTCGGCGCAGTATTCACCGTCTGACTGTTGGCGCAGTTGGTTGTGTTGTTTTCTATGGGTGCGGCATCCTTAGGCTCCTGAGGCTCAGTCTCTGTATTTTGTCTGGAGGCCATGCTGCTGTCCCGGCTGAGACTGCAGACACATGCATAAATATCAGCTTCTGACAAACTTCGACAAAAAGGACAATTAAGTGATGGGGCAAACATGTTCCACAGTAACAGATCTAGGTCAGTGCATTTGACTGACAAGACTGTGGCAGCTGATTGTGCATTATCATTTACTGCAAAGACTCGGAAAGATAGCATTGCGGATGTGACAGTACAGATATTAGCAACAAATCAGGTATACAACATGAAAGCTTATCAGACAACTGGCTTCACAGATAATGAGCAGGAGAAAAAGAGTGGACTGTCAAACAAATGTGATTACGGGAAATTACAGTGCTCTGCAAAAGTTTAAATGGCCTCTTTCTCACTATGTTCAGCTCACTACAGTCAAAACAAGAGTAAAAATCCATCAATCAGAGCGCTATGCTGCTGCCAGGCTGACTGCTGAATGACCTTAGCCACTCACTGCTGTATAGGCTGCAGATGCACGAGCAACAGAGATGAAATAATGAGACAGTAAGTGCATGCAGTTAGGAAGGGAAAAGTACAAGAGCTACAGCACATTAAAATCAGGCCTGACAATAGAGTTAAAAAACAAACAAACATCACCACCAGAATACCATTGTTTTAAAGCCAATAATATAACTATAGCACATATACTAAACACTAAAACACAAACAACCTATTTAACATTATCCAACCCTCCCCATCTTGTACTGCTAAAACAGGTGTGACTCATCTGGGCATATAAAATGGACCTCTGCAGGAAGCTGATCGATGAAACTCAAATCAAACCATTAATGACAAAAATTAGAAGATGTAAAAATTAACATCTTCTGTCCAAAATCTATTTTCTTTCTTTATTGTGTTTTACAATTGTAATTATACTTCTACATCAGATCTACCTCGTAACTTCAGGTTCCAGTGTAGGAATGAAAGCAATTTCCAGTTACCTCATAAATTAGGACATAAATTTACCGCAGAACTCAAAATCAGGCTTAAGTCTGGAAACACTGCAACATGAGTGTATACTTACGGCCTGCCGTTTTCAACTTGAACTCCGATTGACTGAAACTTAAGAGGTTTAGCCAGTAGCAGGGGTTCTTCTCTTGGAACTGGCAGAAGACAGTCAACCTGAAAAATGAACAACACAATATATCAGTGAAATGCAACTCTGTTTGTCTGTCTGTCTCTGCTTGATTATATCTCCAGCAACAACAACAAAAAAAAGAAACTTACTTGAATTCCAATAGAGGAAAGTTTCCTCTTGGGTGCAGTCGGGGGCTGCTCTAGAGTGGTACCACTGCTTAGGGTGTCATTTTGGGATTGAGTAGATGTGGAAGTGGTACTTGTAGCAACAGTAGTGGTTGTGGTGGTGGTAGGTGGGAGGTCACGGGGGGCTGGAACAGGAGGTATGGAGCCTGCAGATGGTGCTGGGGTTGCAGCAGGGACAGGCGCTGGTGGAGGCTGGGTCCCCTTAGCCAGGCTACCCGTGCGTATGCTACAGAGGCTGTCAGAGGAGTTGCTCCGTCCTGACTGGCTGTTGACCTCACTGCCACGGTCCTGCTGGTCAAGGTATGTGTCTTGGGCTGACTCGGTGCTGCTCTGTAATGTCACTGAGATGAGGGGCTTGGAGGTGGTACGGGGAGGGACTGGAGGAGGAGCTTTCCTATTGCTGACTGCTGACAAAAAAAGAACAGAAAAAAAAAGAAAACTAAAAGAACGAAAACATAGGGCTTAGAAAGGGAATCCTGCACTTTGTCACATAAGACTACTGAAACAAAGCAAGACTAAGCCAGCCCTAAGCCAGCTGGTGTGTACCAAATGCCAAAACATAAAACTATTAACATGGCTATCTGAAAAACAAACGTGTACCTTGCCCTTATTGCTGTCTCTATTGGGCCGTACTAAAAGCTACCTCTATGCTTACAGTAATGTACTTCTGTTGGTGGCTGTGTTCCATTGACGTCAGCCTGTCTCTGGAGATCTTCCTTTATATGCCACACCTTCACAGGCCTTTTGCTCTGGGGACTGTCAGGCAGACAACTCTGCCTTCTCTAGTGATATTCAGCTCAACAGTTCTAGGTCTTATGGATCCAGGAACTGAGGGTAGCAATCCATTTTTGAGCTTTTGTTTGTGTTTTCATCCCATTTGAAGTACAGATTAGTCAAATAAATAAAGTTATCCTGTTGTATTTTGCATTTTTTCCCCCAGTCATGCCTTGACATGTTTTAGTAAATGTATGAATAGGAAAGGAAACAGGAAAACGCAATTCAAAACTTGACTGGCTATCTGTGTGTGTGATGTTTTTCTTTTGTCTCCACAGCATAACAAAAAGGAGTCAAACAATTGTACTTTATTCCCCTCCTCCACTTGCTCTGTTCTTTCAACTACCATTGAGCCTCCCTCTTTCATTTGTTCTCAATACATTCAGCTTTGTTAGACTAATCAGCGACAACTGGCCTTGTAAACACTATATCGGCAGCAACATACATAGATACATAGAATTTGGTCCTTATCATCATTTCCTCCTATGGATTTTTGGCTACTAGTTCTTAATTTTTCAAATCAAACAAGATAGAATGGATCAGAGAGAAACTCCACCGACGACTAGTGTTTTCAATGATGACTTTTTCATTTTACAAACTCAAATCCAATACTCAACAATTACTATTTTATAATTAAGTATTTAGTAAGTAAAAACTAGAGATGGCATGATACCACTTTTTTATGTCCAATACCGATATCATAAATTTGGATATCTGCCGATACCGATATGAATCAGATATAGTGTATTTTTTAAACAATAAAACTGTTTTTTAATATCTTGCTGCATTTTGTATAAGTTCATACTCAAGTAAAAAAAAACAAAAACCCAAAAAACACTAAAGCTATTCTGTTATACCCGTATGCAAAAAATACACTGCACCAAAATATTTCATAGTTCAGCGATACTGATCAGTCTAATAAACGTAAACCTACACAGTCCTCCCTATTATGGTATTTTAAAGAGTACTTAGCGAAAATATTAAGCAACCTAACTAACAAGATTGGGTTGATTACATCGATGCTTAATCGACGTAATCAACTTTAATTTAATGCACGTGTAAAAAAAAAAAAAAATGCACAGAAATCAATTATTTTTCCACAATAATTAAATAGATTCAACAGCTTTCTTCAACAGAATTGCAGACTGCACAGATGGTACTTTCCTGAAGGAACAAGTACTATAGCTTACTAGGGTATATTAGACTTAATAGTTACTATATACAGTAATGGACTTCTATACATTTTACATCAGATTAAAACTTTGGGTGTAAGATTCAGATAATTATTTAATGAAAGCTAGACATTTTAAACGAGAATAAGAAAGAAAAGTACGTCTGTATGTTAATGCCCTACCTGCCCCCCTGGCTAAACTTTGCTAGTTCCGCCCCTGCACAGTTACCAGCTGTCAGCTATGCAGAAAAGGATCCTGGTGTAGAAAGTAATATTAAATACATTCTAACAACAGCGTATCAAGCTTAAACGTGCAGCTGTTGTTCAGCCGCTAGTTTCCTCTTTCTAGTGCAAAGTGGGCCAAAAACAAACAAGAGAACAGAGAACAGAAAAGCCGATCAGCCGATCATTGATCAGCTTCATGACTAAAGTAGCAACAGGAGAGGGAGGGAGAGAGAAGAGGCAGTTGCTCCTTATTCAGTATCAGTTGTTAAGCTTAACGTGGGAATGCCTTACAAACATTCAGAGATGAACTTACACACTTGCTTTACTTCGCTCTGGGATAACTTTCTCGGAGATGAAATGGCGGTTTGGTAGCGAGGCTCCAACTGCTCAACTAGACCACTGACAGGTCTCGCAAGTTGGAGCAGTATGCGTCACGTACGGTTATGAGCTTAGTTACGCCATGTTGCACGTTTTGTGAGGTGCTTTCGTGATATTTAATGGATTGGATTACATTACATTACATTTTATTTCTCTCCGATATCCGATCCAGTCATTTAGGTCAGTATTGGACCGATACGACACGCAATATTGGATTGGTCCATCTCTAGTAAAAACACCGTTTGTCTTTAGCAGAGCACTTCTTTACATAAAGCTTCATATTCTGGCACTCAGAAACCCATGAACCATGAGCTTACAAATTCTTTCAAGGGAAACTGAAATGAGGCCTGAAAGTGGATTACCACTGAACTAAGACAATCTGACTCAGGGTGAAGGAATAGGAACGGTGCCTCTTTCTCTGTCATCAGTCTGAATGCAGGGTTGTGGTGCATGATATAGAATGAACTACAATACAAAAAAAAAGGGGGAAAAAAAAAAGAAGCAAGGAACCAGGAAAAACCACAGGCTTTCTACAAGAAATAAGGGGAAGCATGCTATTTAAACAGTGCGATAATCAGCAACATATGCCTCAAAGAGTTGCAAAATACACAGTAGCAAATGCTTCTGCCCACATACAGCATTTACTGACACACATGATGGATGAAATATTTCTTTAAAATTAGCTGACCAAGTAATTTAAAGCTCACCACTTTGAATCAATAATAAAAATGCAGTATTTATTCTACCCGGTAGTGGTTTCAATTTAAATAGCAACCTATCACCCTGTAATTCTGTAGGCACTGCACTCCCATCATCAGCCTGTGACTCACAGAACCAGTAAAGCCCTTATTAAATCCCACAAACATACACAAACATGTCTGTGGATTGGAATCCACCCTATGTGTCACTCATGCAGCCCTGGCGAGCAGTGTCAAACTTAGAAACCATGCCTTCGTAGGAGCAAAACAGAACATTTATTATTTCCAAAGAAAGGCACTTCTTGTAGTACTCATAGCTTGGATGCATGAAATTCCCAAAGTTAATTGTGTCGTACTACATACAGAGTCACAGCACATGCCTCAGTTGCATTTGCTGGGTGACTGCACTGGGTCTTAACTGCACACTGCAATAAAATTGATCATAAGCCAAATATCTGTCAACACTTAACCACACACGTGCACTTTTCATTCAATTCAACAATAGCCCAATTTATAAGTAACAACAACAAATAGGTTAATGGGCCTTTACAGACATTCAGTCACAGTGAACGGGGCTGACTGCAGATTGTTTACACCTCTTGCAAGTGGCACAACCTATTTTGCTATCCTTTGGCAGTATGTGATATGACAGTTGCCCTCATGTGCCTTACTACAGGGGTAGTGCAGAGAAGCGATGGACGAGGTCTGCGATGTCTGAAACATTGGGTCAGGATCAGCTGATAGGTTTATCTTTGCTTCCAGAACTTCAGCCAGTGTATGACAAACCAAGAGCACCTCCAAGTCTAAAAAGCCCTGCTGTCCCTATTTGCTGTTTTACACATGTAAAAAACAAAAAAACAACAACAAAAAGCTAAAGTAGAAGTATAAAGAATGATATAGACTGTTACTTTTTGTTCAAACTAGAAGTTGGACGTAAACTCATAATGGCCTCCCAAATATCTCAAACTTTGGAGTGTGTGCACCTATGAAAAAAACAAAAAGTAAGCAAGAAGCTCTGTGTGGCCAAACTTAGTGCTATGAGTGCGCCGACAGGGAACCAAAACAATAAAACCGCTTGATGGTTAGCTAAACAATGAGTTGAAACTCTTAAGTGTCACAAAAACTAGGGGAGTTGCACATTTTACTTACATTTCTCTGTAGATTCATCAACACAAGAAATATATTTCAAGTTGTTTCCAATATTTAATCGAATACACTGTTATTACTGTAATCATTGTTATAGTAAAACAATTTTTTCATTTAATAGTAGTTTCAATGTACCCACTTTGAAGGGCTTAAACGCTCAAACATTTCATATACTCTCTTACTTTTTACATTTTCTATTCTTAGTCTAGCTATTTGAGACATTAAAAGCCAATAAGCTAACAGAACTCAGAAAGCCCATTGCCAGTTTGAAAGGTTATATGGACAGCAGGAGTCTTCAAATCACTTATTTGAGGTGCTCTCTCTTACTCAGAAAACAATTTAGATCAATTCCAATGCTGTCAACACCACTATGATCATCAAACAATTCTTAAATTGTTTCCCTTATGAGAGCTATGCAGTCTCTGACCCATAATATGCTCTGGCTCCATCAGCAGGTCTGTCTGAGTGCTATCAGATGACCACTAATGCGACCTGAAAACCAGCCTAAAACATCCATGTATATGACTGACTATTCTCATAGCTGTGTACTGATGCCATTAGAACTGTTTATTTATTTATTTTAAATTTACTTTCCTTATTTTAATTTAAGATATCTGGTGTGCCAGTTTGGGATTTAAGTTGTGATCACAGCTGATCTCATTTTGAGTTCTGACTTACAGTCTGATGTGTTAATTAGGCTGCTGCAGAGTGAACTTCAAGGGGAGACACTGTGCTTTAACATTAGTTTCTACTGAAGCACCAAGTTCGGTGTACATAAAAGCAAAGCACACACCAACCCTCACAAACAATATTGTAGCCTATTGTGAATAAACCTTTCGGGACATGAGCCAAGTATCATGAAAAGAGATGGAAGCTCTGTCCAAGATTAGCCAGTGTTACTGCACAACAGACAGACAGACTGTGGGAGTCACAGACAGAAAGATTAGAGCAGGACACACGCTGAGCATGACTTCTGACGGAAAAACAAACAAACACTGTTCACATGTATAGGAAG